TTAGTCAGGAATTCTGGTGCTGTTGCATGAAACCCCACACAGCAGGTTGTGGGATGGGGTTAGGATACATTCTGGGCTTGCAGTTACTGCAATCCTTCCTACTCAGCCCTCAAGAAGGTTTCTCCTGTGTCTCATGTCTTGCTCCACTGGGTACCTGCTGCAGTGAAAGTAGAAAACTTTTCACTGTACAAAATGCAGAGATGATGCATCTTCCTGCCTGGGGAGGTGGAAGTGATAGGTTCCAAAAATTTCTTGCTGGAGTCAGCAGCATTACTGACTGATATTATCTCTATGCTGACTTTTAAGCTAGTCTGCCCCTCATCTTTCCACCCCAGAGTCCTTTTGGCAGACCCATGCCAAACATGGCTCTTTTCTCTTAGGGGAAGCTCAGATGCTTCCCAAACAAAGCTGGCATGCTGAAAGAGAAACCAACCAAATTCACCCCTGGTTGCTGGAGGGAGATAATTTTCACAAGTCTAAGACCCAGTGGGGAACTTTCTGTCTGCCACTGCTGTGGTCCTGCCTTAAATATCAATTACACACAGCACTGCAATGGAAACTTTGGATTGTGCTTATGATATCCTCCCTAGAGATCTGAACCTGGAGTTTCTTGAATGCCAGCACAAGGACAGCCCAGCTCCAGAGGGGAGCGTTCAGCACAGCCTCTACACACCCCATCCCGCACCCCTTCAGCCACTGCTGCCTCCTGGTTTGCACCATCTGTGTACCAATTTGGGAGAGTGGGGCTTCATTTTTGTTACACTTCCACTGTGGCCAGGCCAGGTAGCTATTGCTGCACTCTTCCAGTGCACAAAGAAACCCAAGGGTTGCTGAACACCAGAGGTCCTGTGCTGATGTAAGTGATGGGGACCTGAGCACACAAAGTCCTAAATTTAGTCATGAAAGATGAAAACCCCCCAAACCTTGAAGGTTTAAACACTCGACTTCAAGCCTGAAACCCAGACTGGACATTTAACAGACCACAGAATATATACTGGATCCTAGGTCCTGCTTGAAAATGGATTTCTGTCCCCCCAGGAACTTGCAGGTGCTCTGTTGTGCCTTAGAGTGGAGCGATGTGTGAAAGTCTTAGCAAGGGCAGAGTTCAGGGCTGAGGTCACCCCTCTGCTCTCAATTAAGGCAAGTAGGAAAGACAATATCCCATTTTTGATTGCTAGGGCCTGTCATGTTGGACACAGTGTCTGCATTCAATTAAAGAACACAAATTGGCCCTTAGTGCCAGGAGAAAAACCAAAATGAGGGCCAGTTTGATGGACCAAAATAAAATGTGAGACAGGAAAAATTTATCACCCCCACAAAAATGTTTGGAATGCACACTGGAAAGAAACTTCAAGAAATTAGTGGAAATGCTTTAAAAGGGGTGTGACTCACAATCACTTCGAAGGCGAAGTTTTCTTTTTACTTTCTGCCTTTGCAAAAGGTTTTAAGATTCAGAAAGTGTATTTATTTTGCTCTAAGTGTGGGGGCCTGGGGTAGCTTTCCTTTCCCCTTAGCACCCACCACCTTGTGTTTTTTACTTCAGCTTTGGGGAAAGGAAATGTGTTGAGGCTGCCACCTCCTCTCCTGCTTGGACAGAGCACAGGACAAAGCACAGGAAAATGCAGACCTGTGTGGAATCACTCACCATGGCCTCTCACACAAGGAGAAGGAGCAGGAAACCTGCAGAACATCCTACCTGCCAGCATTAAATACTAGGGATTTTCAAAAACAGGGTTGGAAGGGGTCATATTTTACCTACAGGTAGTGGCTTAAGCAAAGAAAGGATGAAACTGGAAACAACTCTGGGAACAAATCTGGTGTTAATACTGTGCATGTGAGTTCGAAGTTTATTCATGAAGACTCAGTAGGGACATTATCAAGCATCTCAGCCTTAAAGTAAGTCGGCTAATTACCTTCTGGCCTCGGGGTCCCTCTTTCTAGCAGCCCAAGGATGGGTGAAGATTGGTGCTCTCACAGCTATCACAGAGCTGAGCATTTTGCTGTAGCTGTTCCCAAGAAGGATGGGATTTCAGCTTCTTGAGCACATTCTGAAATGAAAATCTACATAAAACCAAAAATCCACCATCTGTGGTTTTTTTTTCTGAAAAAAATGCACTGAAAACAGTGGAGATGGCTGTAATTACAAATAAGGCATTGATCTCTTCTAGGCATATATAAATATATATAATATAAAATACATTAAAAGCCCACCAAGAAGTAAAAGATACATCAGATCACTGAACTTATTATGTCTGGAAGGAACCAAAGTAGAAATCATTAACTATAAAACTATCACAATAGCAATGCAGAAGGAACAGAAGGAGCATTCAGAGGAACATTCTTCTCTTGATGCTGTACATGAAATTCAATTCCATCCAAGGACTTTTAGACTTACAAGAAAAGTACCTTTGGACATAGGGGAGGGATCTTCACATTCAATATAATCTTTGCTTGCAGCACTTTTTGCTTTTCACCAACTCTTCCATGTCACAAAATAACACAGGAATAGGGCTGGCAGGGGAAAATCTCAAATATGAAGTGGTCTCACACAACTGTGGAATAGTGAAGATCATCTGCCAAAAACAAAACCAAAAAAAGCTCACCCTAAATCCTTTTCTCTGAAACAATCTTTTTAGTGACTTACAGCTGGCTTCCAGCACGTGCTGGAGACTAAATCCACCAAGAAATCACCAAATACCTGCTGACAGCAACTGCAGTTAATTGTGCATAATGACTAGGGCCAGCTCCTTTGGGAAAAGATGTTGGAGAAATCCCACATTAAATGATGCATCTGAATTGCCAAGCCCTCCCAGGTGCTTTGCCCATTATCTTTTACACTCATGGAAAGACAGAAGTTTTATTACCAACATAAAATTAGCTCAAAGAAATTAACAACTGGGACATGATGGTTACATCTCTTGACTTTTTGCTCCTCATTTTGGAGCCACCCAAAGCTGAAGGACAATACAAACATTAAATGAGAAGAGGAAAGAAATACCTATGTGGTCAAAGGAGCCAGGTATCCTAAACAAAAGAACTCCCATCTCTCCCTTTCCCACCCGTTCCCACGTGCCCTGTGCTGACAGTCCTGCAGTTCTTCCTTACCTGCTGCCATTTGCCAAAATCTGTCCCTCCAATTCCAGCTTTATGACAAACTTTAACTTTTTGCTCCTAAGCATTTTTTGGATATTTTCAGGAGTCCGAGGGACGCCAGTGAAGGAGACAATTGGTAACCCTTCCCTTTCTTTTTCAAAATTTGAGGAAATCTGTTTTTCCTCTTCCACTACTCAAGCTGCAACACAGAGTGGAGTGGACCTGTGGCCACTTACCATCACACTGGAAAGTAAGAGAGAGAAGTGAATTTTTTCAAGGACATCAGCCTTCTTTATTAGTGCTGCTGGAGGAACAGTTTTTTATTAGAAGCATCTGAAATTGGGTTTTCTTGCATCAAGTAATGAATCCTTCACAGCTGTGCTTCAAAACATCAGCCCATATTATGCCATCTGCACAGCAATACTGCAGCCACAGGGTTTCTTAAAACATTTGCAGGATGGAAAGAATACAGTGGCATTTAGGGAGGAATCACTTTGTCTGTATCAAAGAGAGCATTCCCAAAACCCACAAAGTTAGGAAAAATGCACCAATGGATTTATATTTTTAAAGCATCTATTGCCTCATGAGCCATTTAAATAAAAAATTAATTTCCAAACTCTCCTCCTGTCCACAGTGGGTGTCACGTTCTGGTAATTTCTTCCTTGACTTTTCAGCACAGGACATGTTTATCTAAAACCTGGATCAGTGTCAGGACTCCCCTGCTGCTCCCTCTGCACCAGAAGCAGAGTCAGTGCCAGCAGCATTCCCAGGAGTGTGATTCCACAGCGAGGACAATGGCTCTGTGCTAAGGAAGGAGCCACAAAAGCTCATGGAATGCCCTCAGAGGCCAAGGTCTGGTGTTCATTAGAGAGGCAGGGGAGGTGCAAGGCAGGAAAGAGGCTGTACACAGGTGCAGCTCACAGGGGAAATTTGGGAGAAGGAAGAAGGCTTGCTGAGGTTTGTCAGATAATTCCTGATGCCATCTCCTCTTCCAGCTTGCCTGCTCCCCTCTGGCTGGCCCCAAGCACTGGCAGCTGGCCCCTCACTGTTATTACACAACATATTACAACTGCACAGACACTAAATGTAGCCACCACCGTTTAAATGAAAAAAAAAAAAAAAAGGAAGGGCTGTTGAGCCTTTTGCAGCCCTGCAGCAATTCCCAACTGGCCTTTTCAGAGAAAAACACAGCACCGTGCAGCTCCAAATGAATGGCTTGTTTTCCAGGCAAAGTCAATGGAACACCTTGAAACAAAGTAAGCACAGCAGCACCCTGGCTGAGAGGGAACGGGAGGTGTTTTTACAATGCCCTGTGAGATTGATAAGGGCAGACCCTGACTTAGGGAAGTGGTATGTGACTTGTCCAGGCCTCCATGCAGAAAAATTGGAGCTGCAAAAGAGTCTCAGTACAGCCAGATACAAACTCATACAAAAATGTATTTTTTCCCAAGACCAGTGGATGCGAGTGGAGTGGGGAATTTCTGTGCTGAGTTTATAAATTCAGAACTGGTTCTTCTCCGATTGCTTGTTACAGCAACAGGATAAGAGGTTGGGGGAATTTCTTTTACATTTTGAAGTTAAACGCTTCTCTCTTGGTGAACATTTCAACAGAGATTTGAAGAATCAGCAGTGTCCAAAACGGTCACCTGGCACCTGATAAAGATTCATTTGGTAAAATAATCTGGTTGGTATTATCCTGTAAACCAATTTCAGGGATCACTAATTGAGACTTTAAGCTTTAAAATATCGTCAGTTGCACTGCAAATCCATGTGTCTGCAGAGCCTTCTACAGCATTAGAAAACTCAGCCCATTCTGACTTTTATGGAGAGCAAAGACACACATTGTACCTTTAATTACGTGTTCTCTAGATGCTGAAATAAAATGAAACATACTTCTCCTTTTTCACTCTTAGTTTTATTATAAAAATCAACATTTCATTTGTTACAACTCAGTTTATAGTAATAATTGCAAAGGATTTTTTACAAGGTTTATATACACCGTACAAGTAAAGCACTTTATTTTACAAAAAAAAAAAAAAAAGTTAGTGAATGAGTGAATAGGGCTGGCCAAATGTTGGCCATTATAATATAAATACATCCTTGCAAAGCACCATCGTACTGAAGTTGATGAACAAGAGACACCAGCTTGCTTTAAGACAATGACAAACAGTTGAGAAAAAAAAAACAAAACAAACCAAAAACAAAACAAAGAGTTAAAATCTGAAAGCAGCACCAGATCCTTCACTTGCAAACAAGGCTAGTTCAGCTTAAGCCTGGTGGTATCCTCTTTACAAAAAAACACTTCCCTTTTCCACTGACTCTCCCCTGCATGGCTTAAGGTTGCAGCAATTTTAATCAGGACTTCAGAGCTGCTCCTGGTTCATCCAGAGAGGGGAACACTGCCTCTCCAACAGTTTGTAACAACCACCCTGCCCTCTGCTAGGACAATCCTGAATAAAACACCAACATTTTACTTACCCTGCCCTGCACAGTTCTGGTGTGAATCACCAGTCCCTATAAATGCTACAAATCCCTTCCCTTTTATAAGATGGAAAAGGAAGAAAATTTTGGATCACTACTGTATTTTGATTTCTTTTAGAAAAGAAACTGACTGTTTCGTAACCCTTTTCAAGCTATTAGTTCATTCCTAACTTATTGGCAACGTTTATATGTTACCTGCCATTAAGTTAAAGGTTAATTTTCAAGTCATACTAACACCAAAATGCAATTTAAAAAATCTCATTGCTAAGAAAGCAATTTCTGAATAGCAATGCTTAAATTATTTTTGCACTCAATGAGCCAGTTATTTTTCTGTTGCAGAACTAATAAGTAATCTGCACAGTACAGGTTCAGAAGCAGATTCTGTCACTAACAATACTGTGTGACAAACACACTCAAGGCAAAAAGGTCAGGAAAAGAAAAGTGTTTGATTTCTTCTTAAGAGGTATTTTGAAGAAGTCATCTGATCCAACAGCATGTGTGACCAGGGAGTTCTGTAGCTCAAGCAGTTCCCCCCAGAATGGTCCTAATTAATCAATCTGACATTTGCCAAGCAATCAGGAATGGAAGTAATATTCAAGACAGTGGCCTTTTCTTCATCTTAGCACAGGTTTAACTACTTTAAAGCTTAAACTGTGTTTAGGACTTACCAATGAAGCCATCTCTAGAGAATAAATAGAGAAGCAATGCAGAGCTGGAGACCACAACACCGTCAAGGCCCATTAGAGTAATAAATAGGAATGACAGGGATTTTCCACATGCACCTTCACTTGCAGCTGACTGCAACACCTGCCATGTCAAGCAGTTTGGGTGCAATTTTCTTCATAATTAGGCTAGGGCTGCAGCAGACTGCTTTTCATGTCCCTAAAAAAAACACAGAGGAGCTTTACTCATCTGCAAAATGGACTCCAGAAGTAGGGGAACAGTGTAAGAAATGTGCTTCCTCTGCTGCCTGGCCTGACAGAGCATGAAGAATTCAGGTGTTCTGCTGTCTGTCGTACAACCTGGCCAAAAGGAGCCCAGGGTGGGTGAGACACAGCAGGACAACACCCAGCATTGGCACTCTGGGAGCCAGGGAGGCTGAATCTATGCACAAGAGAAAATGATCAGCTTTGGGTAAGTGCCCATTATCAAAGATTTGGGTACCTGCACGCACACTTGTACTTGCACATGGGGAGGGAAATGCTGGGGCAGAAATACAGAATTTACGGTGCAGAAAGTTTCAACTTGCAGCAAAATGAATCCTTTTATATCAAATGGCTCACTTACGTATTTTGCATTTCTGTAAATATTTCATTTAATGTATGTGCACAGGTTGCATGAATTTGTATTCATGGAAACCATTCTTTCTTTCAAATGCAGATGCCATGTGTATGATCCATTTATCACATCGAAGTTATTTCCTAACAAATACCTTGGTATCCAAAAGCAGTGGGGAAATGAAGAGTGCCCCTTAGAAAGCCATGAACTGTATGCACCATGACATGCCAGGTAGAACTTTAAAAGGTAGACTAAGGTCTCACTAATGCTGCCATTTAAACATGCAAAATTAATTTTCAACAAATTATGCTGTAATTTGTGATGTTCTGTTTTTAGCTACAACAGACTGGGCATGCCAGCTATTCCCATCACCAGCCAGCTAGAACTGCCCAGTATCTACAGAGAGGAAAAAGTACACAAGGGCCCCTGTGTCAATGCCCTACTGTACCTGATGCTGTAGGATAAGGACCTTTATGCTTAACTGGAAGGACAAGGAACAATTTCCACTGCCATCAGTGAGATCCCTTCCATGCTAATGCTACAAACCCACTTCAGCAATCTCCTGAATGGGCATGTCTGTGTTATCTACAGTCCCAATACCTCAGTCAACTGGAGAAGCAGGAGAAAAGATGATCCTCACTAAGAGAGAGAGAGAGAATATGAATCACAACTGGCTCGGTGCCAAAGGGGAACAAAGAGAAAATGTTCAGTCTCAGCATTTATCCATTGGGAATGTGTCAGGTGTGGGTACTGGTCACATCAATAGTTTGGAGATCTGCCCAAGAGGAGCTTCACAAATCAGTAGATCTTTCAAAAATTTACTCCAGATTTCCTGAGAAAATACATGTATTTACAAAATCATATCACAGCCTCCTGCTCAGACAGGAATAGCCTGTTCTCTGTGCTGGGTATTTTCAGTGAAAAACCCCAGCCTGTCCACTTCCCCTCTCATGAACCTCCCAGAGGCACCCAAAATATTTGATGCACAAATTGAAACATCTGTATCAGAAAGACCTGATCAAGTCCTACATGGAATTCTATGGCAACCCCACTGACTTCAGTTGGGTTATGTGGATGTAAACCAGCACAGGAAGCAGCATGAGCCATATGCAGAGAATATCTTTCTTCTAAACAAATTCTTGCTTGTAATTAACAGACAGATTGACTGCAGGAAGCTCCCTCCAAGGGGATGCCTCAGTGAGGCAGTCCAGCTGCACCAGAAAGAGGATACCACTCCTTAAGCTCAACCATCCTGGAGTTTTTCAAAAAGAAATTGGCACACTGAGAAAAAAGCATTTTGCAAGAAGAGACCATTGCCATTGCAGTACAAGCACTTGGACTGAGATACAACAATACAATATTCTTCTGAGTTCATTAGTGCAAGTTTCCGCATGTGAACCCCACACGGAATGCTGCACATGAAAAAATGTAAACAACAGAGAAATTCTAATTCTCATCGGTGTGCCAGCCTCACCCCCACCCCGACACACCCGCCCTCCCCCCTTCATATATATGGTTTTCAGTTCCCTTATAGTTCACAACACCCTCCTCAACATCCATCCTGCTGGACAACACAAGGAAGCTTCTCCACCAGCAAGGAAGAGCCAGAAGAACAGCTACCACAATTCCTAGAAACCTAGAATGCAGCTGGGCAAAAACCCCCTTAGTATGCCATCTTCAGAGACCAACAATAGCCTGGAGATCACCAAGGCTGTTTAAGGTATTCTGCACTAGTAGGAAAAACCCTTTTATTACAGATGGAATCCCAATGACAGAGTTTTCCTTGGAGCTGAAACCAAATGAGGATCCAGTACTCCACATGAGTGGCAGCTAACAAGAATAATTTGTCACTAATTTTGTCAACAGCATCAATTGCAAGCCCATGCCATCTTTTCAGATAGCTTCTCTTTTAGTTGAAACTGGCTGCGAAGGAAGCAACAGAGAACAATAAAACCCAAAAGGCGCCTCTGGAAAGTTGCTATCCCCATTCCATACCCAAAGGTGAGGAGGCAGGAGCTCCCAGGACCTTTGTTTTGAGAGAGAAGACTCAGAGGGCCAGTCTGTGAAGGCACTGAGCACCTTTACTGGATGTGATGTCAAAAGAAGGTGCAAATGCACAATGCCATCTCAGACCAGGTATACTGTGTGCTCTGCTGCAACCTACAAATTCAAAGCACTGCACTGGAGTCCAAGAGGAGTTAACAATATCCTAGGTTGCCCCTTAAACTGCACAAATGATGTTTTCACTTGATTAATAATCTCCCTGTCAAAATCACCACGGTGAGGCTGATGGGAGAAGGGGCTAAATATGACAATATACAAAAATAGAGATGTGAATATAAAATGGTTTGGTTAAGAATATCTTGAAATTTGACATTCACAGCGGTTAATACTTAAGTATTAAACTCACACCACGCAAAAGAGGAGGTATGTCAAAATCATACTGAGAAAAACTGGCTTTACCTAACACAAAGAAAACATGAGCAGTTAATACAGCAGGGGAACCCCTTCCAATGAGCAAAACATCTATTTTTCTTATGGACAGCTGTTCCACTGAAAGTTAAATGCTTCCTTACTAGAAAAAAAAAAAATATATATATATATATATATATATGATTTGTATACTGTGATATCAATATACACTGGAAGTACTGCAAGGATATATTATTCATTTACAGTAAAACTAACAATTCATGGTTAAATTTATAGATTATAAATATGCTGTCTATATTATATGCGGTATAAAAATATTTGACATTTTGTGGGCACTAGGTCAAAATAAGATTTTCTTTTTTAAGGGACTAAAAATCATTCAGGTATATGCATATTACCCTTGTCAATGATGTGAGAATCGTACTGACCTGGTACAAAACAGAGTCCTACCATGCTGGCAAAATGAGGAGAGTAATGTATAGCATGATAATCACTGCACGACAAGGCTAATTAGGAGAAAACCCGGCATTTACAGCAGCCCAGTTCTAGCAGTACTTTAAATAGAAATATCATGAATTTAAGTGACACGGGCAGGAAGAAAGGATGAAGAAAAGACAAGAAAACCTAACTGGGGTTAAAAACCAAATTTTAAGATACACCCAACAAAAATAACTGAAATTCCAGAAGCAGGGAGAAAGCTTTAAACGCTCTCATTTGTTAAATGCATTAAAGAAAAACAGAGGTGCATTCATTTAAAAAAGTGTGCAATTGATTTTCTGGATTCACTGCTACGACTGCTGTATTCCTGTAGAAAACAAAGCCCTTTGTGTAAGGTTAATATCTGTCCTGACTGCATTTTCAAGTTTAACTTCAGTTGCTGGCCCTCTGCAGTTAACATAGAGGTTATTTGGCTACTTCCAAGTAGCTATGGTATGCTGCTCTGAGACGGACTTCTTTATTATTAATTACTTTAAACATTTTTGGTATTGACAAAACCCACGTATCACCTCACTGGACAAGAAACATATCCCAGTCCTTCCATTTCCTTATGTGCTCAGTCACTTCACTGGATTAAGGCATGTTTTTGTGTTCCACTTGCAAAAATAAAAACTTTTTGTACAAACGTCTGGGTTCTTTTATACAAAAATTTTCTCTTCTTATGGCACAAGCAGCAGCTGCTGTTTAAGAAAATATATAAATATCCTTTTTTTTCTTTTTTCTTTTTTTTTTTTTTAAACTCTTCTGTACAAACACCTTCAGCGCCCCTCCTCCCCACACTGAACTGTACACTGTGCTCCCGCAGGCGCGGCTCCCTCCCCCCCGTCCCCAGCGGAACCTTCCGTATTTACAGCGCGGCGGGCGCGGGGCGGGGGGCTGCCCCTCACGACGAGTCCGTGCAGGGCGACGGCGGCGGCGGGTACAGGTGGTGCGAGTAGCTGCGCTCCGTGTACGGCGACGGCGGGCAGCTCTCGCAGTTCTCCTCGGCAGACAGGTACTGGCTGCGCGGCGTGGGCGGCGGCGGCACCGGCTCCGAGTCGTAGTTGAGGTCGCTGGTGTAGCCCTTGGCGGCGGCCGCGGGCAGCCGGCGGCTCGGGGCGTAGTCGCTGTCGCACACGTCCGTGCTGCAGGGCGTCGTGGGCGGCGCGAAGTGCCGGTAGCTGTAGGGCCGGTAGCTGCGGCGGGGAGATGGAGCGGGAAAAGGGTCACTTTTCCTTCCTCAAAGGGGATATGGCAAGGTGGGAACAGAAAGCAGGGCAACCTCTGCAGTAATGCACAGCATGTCCTTGCCAAGCTTCCCTGCAGAAGGGCTACAGCGTTGGGCTTTACTCGTGGGAAATGAATTTTGTGCTCCAAAATGCTGGAATTGGACAGTGGGCCACGTCTGGTGTAAGTATTCTATCATCCCCTTTGGGTTAATTTAATCCATAGTGTTTGTTAGTTCCCCATCCCTGGACAGGGCATGGAGTAACCTGGTCTAGTGGAAGATGTCCCTGCCCGTGGCAGAGGGTGGAACTGGATGGGCTGAAGTTCCCTGCTACCCGCAGCACTCCCTGATGCCAAGATCACTGGAGAGCCCAGGTTTGCTCAGTGCTTCCCAGTTTCCAGATGTTTCCAGTGACCCTGGCACTGCCTGCTCAGAGATGCAAGGAGCACCTGTAAGAGCTGGTGCTGTGCCACAGAAAGGAGCAGTGCCTGAGAACAGTCTCTCACACAAGAGGCTCCCTAAGGGCTTAATAGAGGTAGAAAAAGTTGCTCCTAAGACAGTGGGGCAGGGAGGGCACCGGTGTGCATGTGCCTCTGTAACAGCTGTGTTGCAATTATATTTCCATTAGGCAGTTTCTGGATACTAACTTCCAGGGCCCCGACAGAAGACTGAAAATTACTGGGCACACTCATAGCACTCAGGAGAAACATTCCTTAGAGAAGTAACTGGGATGAAATTCTCAAAGGCTGCTACCACAAAACATCTTTTAAAATGAGCCTAAGATAGTTTCAAGGAAACAAATTAGAAAGGGAAATGCATGGTAACTACAACTCCAAGCATCACAGTCAGTGGCTGGGAACATGAGGGATGCAGCTCCTCTATAGTCAAGTCAGAATATTAGGAGAGAACTAAGATCAGAAGCAGCAAGAGCAGTTTATTTTTGCGTGGGGGAGCATTTGGAAAATACCAAGCCCTATGCTACATCCCTAATATAATTTATAATACTGAAAGTCACATCAGCTAACCAGCAGATGACCCATGCTGGTGCCCGAATTTGGTTTCTTTCATTAGAAAATTACTTGTAATTTCAAAAGATTTTTCATATGGCTACAAGGGATCATTATAAACATCTGGTCTGACCTTCTGCACAACAGAGGCCGTATTTTCTGCTAATGGAGAAGAGATGTCTGTTCAGCCCCAGAGACCTCATTACCCAAAGCCCCCAAAGGCTCTGTGTTAGGGAGGGACATCTTTCACACAAATACAGCACTCTCTTCTCACTGACCACATCTACTGGTGATTTGGGAGGGGAACCTTTACACCCTTGGGTAGCAGGGGTCTGTTGCTCTATTTTTGGTAACTTGCTATAAAATCATAACTAACTCCAGCATTCTTACAGGGAAGGTAAGAAAAATACATTCAAACAGAGATAAAATGCATGCTCATAAATACTAGTCAAGAGAAAATAAAGCAAAAGGTTAGCAATCTTTTCCAGATATTAACCCTTAATGTGTCAAACTAGAAATTCTATGCTTTATCTACACAACAACATTAATGTTATTTCTGACTTATTAGCCTTTATCTTGCCAACTTTTCCTCCACAGGGTATTTGCTTATAATTTCTGATAATTACGTAACAAATTATTTATGGCAGAAGCCTAAAAAAGGCAGGGTTCACTCCAGGGTAAGTTTTTTTGGCTCAAAAATACTCATGGCACTGCATTTCTTTTGGCATGTAGTTAGTTTTGTGATGAGTGCTGTCATTCTCCCTAAGGAATATACCCCAGGGATGTATCACTACCCACTTAGTGCATGATTTACCTCAAACAGTGCTGCACTTCCACACAGGCAGCAGTGACACGGTACACGTGAGCCCATTTAAGCACCAGTTTAGTGCTTGCAGAATTAGGGCTTTGATTGTAATTCTTACAGAGCAGAGGCTGCCTTTATTCTGCATTTTCTACACTAACTGCTTTGATCCTGACAGAAGTTATTGTAACAGTAATTACCTGTAGGATCTATGAGTGGATGGGCTGTTTGAAGAATAACCAAATTCCATGGTATAATGTGAACGTTCAGTAGCTGGTGATGGTGGTGGGTTCAAAATCTAAGGAGTAAGAAAGGAAAAAAGGCACTTTTAAAAAGGAAAGATACAAAGGGAACTTGAGAAAACACCAGTTTATAGTTTTTTGTACTGTCTAATAGGAACCTTAAGTAAAGAACTGCATACATAGCCCTCCCAGCAAACAGGATTTTTTTTCTGTTTATTCCCCAGCTCTTAAGCAGACCCTGGAAATGCCATTTGTTGCCACTCTTATTGGCTACTACTAAGCTCTTCTCAAAAAACACTGACTGCTTTGGCTATTTTGACATAGCCAGTGCTGAGAAGTAAAGTTGCAGCAAGCTGTTCAATTCTAGGTTGTCACTAGGGACACCACTGCCCAAGGCAGACTGGCAGATCTCTGCTCCTGCAAGCTGCAGTATTGCTCTGCTTATAATACTTGCAGCGTGCTGGCCAAGGCAAGCATTCCTTCCCTATGCAGGCATGTTCTTACTCCATGTATTTGGATTAATTTAAAGCAGATGTGAAGCCTGATCAGTTGATTCTCAGAACTGAAAACCAGCAGTTGAAGATTCCAGCCTTCACTGACCAAGCATGGGACTCTTTAACACTCAACAGTGGCTTGGTGAGCTCCATAAAAATACCCAAACCAGCCACCACAGATGCCAGAAGTGAAGAGACAGGGAGCTCTCTAGGGCTGGCACCAACTGTTATACAGCACTAGTGCAGCACACTGCACATTTGTGATGGAGGGATGTTATGGAGCTGCAAAACACTTGTTTACTTATTTACCTGCCACTTGTAAGACAGATGACACAAAGCTTCATTTTAATTCCTTGAAAGGTCTGTACAAAATCAACCTTAGTTTTACCTTCAGAGGCACATGGCAGAGTATAATGAAAGGAGATCTCTCTGCCAGAGCTGCTCAACATCTACAGAGATTTTTTTCATCTCTCCTGACATTCAATCTAATGTCTTTCTTCCTGGCACTGAGCTCTCTCACAACTTTTTTTTTTAATTAAGTGAAAATTTCTAGACCATTTTGGAAAAAGATAATCCTCTTCCCTTTCAAAATCACTTACTCCATATCCAAACAAGTTTATTAGACTAGAATTCTATATCAAAACATTAATCTGTCCATTGATTAACCTTTAGAAAGACACTGTCACTTCCCTGGAAGTTATTAAAGGTTTATGAATAACAGAATGACTTACTGGAGGAAAGTAAGTGCCTTTGGTACTTGAAGAACTGCTGGAGGAGGCTCCTGTAACATGGGCCCTGTCATAGGGTGGGCCGCTGCTCCCTCCCATAATGCTGAGGGAGCTGATGACAGATTTACCTCGAGACATACCTGAAGAACAGAGATGTATGTCAGTACTCAATTCTTCCTCAATTCACAAACAAATGAAGCTTAAAAAAATAATCTAGAGGACAACAGCAGTATAAGCACAACTTGCAAACCCAAAATTAATTATCTTGGTATTAAAACCAAATTATGCTCTGAGAGGAGCCTGCTGGATCTAAAAGCCACAAGTTACAGTACATATTTAATCAATATATACAGAAGCAACACATATAGATGAAGCAAAATGTTGTGGTTAAGTTTTACTGTTTAAACAGCAGTAGCACCAAGTACCAGTGCTTGGACTGGTACTGGAAAATTCATCATTAAATGAAATAAGCTGAGACCAAAGTTATTGCTGATCATTACAGACTTGGCAAGAAGTCTCACAAGCATACAAACTTAGACTGCAAACCTACCAAAAATAATCACATAATGTTTAAAGTCCCATGAATATAACTCTGTGTAACTTTACCCTGTACTGTTGTGAAACTTTGCTGGTGCTACAATAGCCCAGAAAGGGGATTCCTTAGTAGCAAAAGAAGAAAGTGCACAATGTGTGCATTTATTGAAGCTTAGATTCTGCTAAGTACCTAAATGCTTGTGAACAACACAGGTACAATAGCAGTTCATTATTGTGAAGAAGGATGGCAACAAGCCTTGGCGGTCCTGGCTTCCCACAGCTTCCAAGAACTGCATCTGGAGCAGACATTTCCTGTACACAGAGGCACAGCATCCTCAAGTGCAGCTGTGGGGTGCCAGGGACAAGGATCATCCCCTTTACTTACCAGGGAGAGACCCTGACAGAGAGCTGGGGTGAGGCACATAGCCCAGAGGCACTGGGGCTGGCCCGTGCACCACGTAATCATTGGTCATGGTTTCCCCATCACCCTTCATGCGTGGGCACAGCACCCTCTGGCAGATGAAGTACATTGCTCCCACCACAAAGACCGTAAGGATCACACCAATGATGGAGCCTATGGTGTTGTTGGGCTGTGGTGCAGGTTCCTCCGTTGTGTCTAAAAGGGAAAAGGAAAATCAGACCATGTAAGTTTAGATCAACATCAGTTTTTCTTGCATCTTTCCACTTTCCTCCCCTTCTGTAGGCAGACAACAACTTTCAACTTAATATATGGGAGGAACAAACAGGCCCTAGGACAGGTCTGTTCAAAGACTCTGAGTGTCCATAAGGGCTACCTGCAGCCTCCAAGATGACCTCCAAACATGCCATGAGGTTTTTCCGATCACAAATAACAGGAAATAAGTAGTAAGAACATGCATGTGCAGGGGGAGTGATGGCCGTGTTCTTGCTTCAGGCTGACAAGCAGAGCTTTCCTTTGAACTTGATGAACAACACCTGCAGCCACATCTCCAGATGACACTGTGCAGGGGACTCCTCTTGTGCTTTTCTTGTCACCGAAGATGGCAACAACTGCTTTTCATGTCACACCTCGGCTATCAGGGTAACAGACTGGCACTCCCTTTTCTCAGCAGTCTAGCAATCACTTATGGAGCACCACCGTGACTGTTCAGCAGTGATGAATCTGGGGGTTGCTGCTGTTTATTAAACTACCCAAACTACTCCACATCTGACCTAGACTTATGGTTACAGATACAGCTGAGCATCAGCCTGAGATGCCACCTTACAAGGAATCTGTACCCAAAACAATTATTTAACAGTCAAAATGAGTGGCTTTCCCAACAAGACCAATTCTAAGCAATGACATTTCTGGGAGTAACTGACAACCCCCTGCCTGTGCTCATGAATTTGACAAGAAAGGCAGACTTTAAAGTATTTTCTGTTCTAGTCAGTGTTTTACATCTTACGCATTACTGAAAGTTTTTTTCTCAACACATTTTCTTCTCCCTGAACACCAAACCCACACTTGAACCAGCTTGTCACAGTCTACAGAGATAAGTAAACAGACTTCTGATCATAGTGAAAGAGGGATGGTGACAACTGCCATCTTATTCTGGGTGGGCCAATTTTCCATCCTCTGTTAAAAAACTGGAGAACATACAAAATCTAATAAAGGAAACTACACAAGCCTGTGATAATGTCACTAGTGACTTGGTAGCATGACAGATCATCTCTTAATACTCCTTCCTAAGATCAAGGGTCCAACTCTGGCTTTGCATTTTCAAATTATCTGTGTGCCAGCTGTGGTATATGGATCTCTAACACAAGACAAGATGTCCCTATTTACAATTTCTTTTAAAGCACCAACAGTGAAAGTGAACTTTTGAGTTGGAATTTTAAAGGCAGTGGCTTTCTTGTAGAGCCCTGGAGATTTCAAGGTAGGGGATATCACATGTTACAAATCAGAAATCAAGCTCAGAATTACATCCTTTCAAGATAAAAAAAAAGAAATTTTAGAAGGTTTACTCTATAAACAGAGTGCTCCTCTGATTCTAAAAGCACCTGCTATTAATTCTCTGGATGAGAGAACCACAAAGCAGAGAAGTTATATATGAACGCCTCATGCCAGTAAATATTTTTTTAATATTGCACCAACTCAGCACATAAACATTATAGTAAAACAAACCTTTTACTTCTTTTAAAATTTAAAAAAAAGTAAGAAGAAACATAACAGGCATTCTCTGCCTCAGAAACTACTTGTTCAGAATACTAATTATTTTTGTTATTCCTATTCCACCACATTGGGCATTAATTGCATGACAGCAGTTATGAAGCATTAATTCTGGGAACAGCTAATTCAGTCTGCTTGGCAGAATAAAATCAAACTTGTAGGAAAGGTGAGAAGCAAATTTTGGATGCTGCAACCAAGTCTCCAGTCTCAGGCAGTACACTTACAACATCCTTGCTCATCAGAGCTGTCACTGCAGTCCAGGTTGTGATCACACTTCTTGCTTTTCCCGATGCACTGCCCACTGGCACAGCGGAACTGATCCGTTAAACACAGCACTGCAAAGAACCCCCATGCCAACAGTCAGCACCAGAAACGTCTCTTGAAAATCATTAAGAAATAAAGACACCAAAGCATACAATCAGGAGTATCTTGGGAGAGCTTGGAGTGCTGCAAGCTTCATTTCTGGAAGTAGCCAGTGGAACACTGTCAGTCAGTCACGTGAACCATGCAGAGCAAGTGACTCAGTGTTCTGTTGAGGATAGCGCACACTGGTACCGGGGCTTTACTGCCTGCTTACAGTAAGAACACTACAAGATAAAGTGACCCTCATCTAAAATAACTCAGAGGCCATTGAGAAGACAGGCACTTATCCCAGGACATGGTTATTGCAATATTACCATAAGAATCTCCAAACCCAAGCATTTACTGTAATATAAGAGAGAAGAATTAAGTTATGAAAAATAAATCTGCCAAACCATGATAATAAAATTGTTTAAGAAAGATAAATGTCCTTCTTGATGTCCTTGTGCTCTTCCTGTAAACCAGAAAAGTCCTCAATCATGAGACAATATATTGACTTGATATTATGTTTTTAAACTGAAACAAAGGACAAAATATAAAACTCAAGCTTTGCTAGTACACTGAAAAAATAAAAGGTGCTGCAGGCAAGGTGTTGGCTGCTGCTGTTTCTACATATTCCTGCCTCCTGTTTCTCATAAATCCAGAAATCCTTTTTTGTCTTCAGCTGAATTAAGAAGTTAAACTAAAGGCTTTTCTGATTTGTAATGAACTTGAATACTCTCAGCAACAGGACCACTTTGAAGGTGATAAACAGCCCCTAGTCTGACATCTCCAGTTGCTGAATGACAACTGGGAAGCTAACTTGCACAACACATTTTCAGATGTCAGCATCTCAGCTGGCTAATAATCACCTTTCAGCACACAGGAATTCCAGCTCTGTTTTAGTTTGAGCTGGAGCACATCTTTTGGAAAGGAATTTAGCCTTGATTTAAAGTCATTTCAACAGTCTCCTCAAAGAAGGAAAATGCACTGAAAAGATATAAAGAAGAAGCATCCTTTCAAGCTTACAAGCTGTCCCTACAACTCTTCACTACATCTGCAATTGGGAAAGAATGAGTTTGCTCAGATTTCATGTTTTGTAGTGGTGGAGCAGTTCAGATTTCACCAGCAAAACCTGTCCTTTCCAAAATGAACTTAATTCTCATTGTGCTGGCAACAGCACTTCCCTCTGTAAAGACAGCTTAAATACTCTCTCTTTTGCTGTGCTCTGTCGAAGGAGGTCTCCAGAAATCTCCTCTGTCTCTCACTTATTCAGAAAAGCTCATTTTGTTCAGGTGTTGTAAAATAAACAATCCCAAAACTTTTACAAGGCACACAAAAAGCCATGACAAGAATTTGCTCCACTTTGTAGTTCGCTCCCAGATACTAAGTTTTTAGAGCTTAATCATGCCATTTTTGATAGTACTTTTCACAAACAGCATTTAAGCCACTTTGATGGATATCACTCTTAATTTCCACTTCACGGTAGAGAAACGAAAAGTATGGAGTTATGAAATAACTTCTGTTTAACAGACCCGTTTAAAAACCAGCAGAACTTTGGATCTTTTCAAATCCTACTCAGCAATAACACTGGTACTCCTCCCAGTGTCCCTGTGACAGGTACATCTCCATCCCACTTGGCAGTATCCTCCGTACCTTCGCAGTTCTTCTCATCCGAGTTGTCCTGACAGTTGGCTTCCCCGTTGCAGCGCAGGGCACTGTCTATGCACTGCCCACTCTCACACTGGAACTGGCTGTCAGAGCACACTGGGCAGTTCTTCTCGTCACTGTGGTCCTCACACTCAGTGAACCCATCGCAGCGCCAGGCCACCGGGATGCAGTCAATCTCACCTGTGAAACAGGTGAACTGCTGAGGGGAGCATGTTGGTGGTTCTTTGAAAATCAAGCAAACAAATAGAAGTTAAACATCCAGGTGAACAAACAGAAGATCAGGACAGGACAAGAGCTCAGCTGCTTTCCTATACAAAGCAGCTGATGAACAACGTGCCACAAGGTCACTTCCACAGCCACTGCGTTCACAGCCACTTTTGCAGACCTTGAGGCCAGTGTGACTGATGCAGGCTCACATCAACAAAGGCTTGACAGACGAAGAACAAGAGGAACAGAGAAACACGCACACTCAAAACACATTTATTTTCTTCCCTTCCCACTTCAGACTGTCACACCTTTCTGTTAGTAAGACTTCAAGTCAAAGTCATCACACTCTTCAACTCTCCCTTTCCTGCAACACCACTGTATACACAGCCAGTTGCTTACTCTCTTTTTCATGTTTGACAGTCATTGTATAGAAGATGTTAAAAGGATGTAGTGTGCTGGAGATGAATGCACTGTGACTCGGTGTCTAGTTATGTGCCCTTCACAGCTCTATTCAGTCAAAATTATTTTAAAACAAAAAACTGCTCCATCTAGGCAAGTTCCACTACCTCAACATATCTGTTAGCTGTTATTTAACATTTACTACATTAACTGTTAATCTTAGTCAGTAAGTAAGTGTGGATCTTTTCCCTTTTTTAATCCCCCTTTCCTCCTGTGGCTTTTTGGCCTGGTACTAAACTTGCTCTGAGAAAATATCTGGATTATGTTAACTCTTGTTCCATTGTGAGACCACACGTCGCCTCGATGGCGAGATGATTGCATAATAAATCCATTCAGTCCAGTGGCACCAAAGTGCCTGTCCTCTCCCCTCTTCCAGCCCCACCCCTGGAGACACCAGGGCGTGGGCTACAGTGGCCATATCTCCATGGAAGGAGGCAACTTGCCCTTCTGGGACTGCAGTTCAGAAAGTCACGCACAGGGTGAGCTTGGGGAAGACAACAGAGAAGAACAAAACAGCACAGGCTGTGCAATGTGGCAGAATGTGAGAATCTACCACTGCCTGAAAAGGCAGAACATGGGGAGTGACAGCAAAAAGTAATAAAAATCATACAATTAGAGAATCAAGTTGAAATAATAGGTTGAGTCTTAAGTCTTAAGTAGAAAGGGTGAACAGAAATCCTTTTTCAACAGTTAGGGATTTTTTTCTTCTTCCCTTACTCCTTCTCAATACTTGCAAATTTAGCTGGAGGGTGGAGGGAAAGAGGTGAGTCTGTACAGGTGTGTAACAGCACCTGGTGCACTGTCACATTCCTCTGGCTCAGAAGCCATCCCTGCAGATGGAGACCCTCCCCAAGGCCAAAGCTAAGAGCTCAGTGGCACAGAACTTGGGAAGGACTCACCTCCGCAGGACAGCTCATCCTGCAGCAGCACCAGGTGCACGGGGCAAGAGCAGCGCGTGGAGCCGTCCCCCTTCACAATGCAAATGTGGGAGCAGCCACCATTATCCTGAGAGCACGGATGTTGTCCTAGGATTTTAAAAATAAGACAGGGACTGATAAGAAATCCCCAACTATTTTATGACCTTTCAGTCATTTCTTCATTACCCCCTACCTCCTGGGGAGAGGATTAATGAAAAATCTCTGTTAATGTTGTATTTTGTTGTGTGTATTTCTCCCTTTACACACATCTATAATTATACATTGGTAACTCTCCATGATCTGAAACTACTCTAAGAATTTATACTAAAACAGTACTCAAAGCATTTTGCTTCTTGTGTGAGGTAGCAGTAGTTCTCCACAGCAAATCACACATTAGCAATACAAAAAGATGTCTTGGATTCCATACTTCATTTTCTCTACCAAAGACCATTAAAAAAATAAACTTTTCTAATTTACAAATTCTGAAGCTTCCACACAATCTCTGAAACTCAAATTAACATGCTCTAGATAAATATGTCTCTTCATTTTAATGTTTAATAAGGACAACATACTTCTCTTGGAACTCCTGACAGATTTACTGAGATTAATAGCACACAAAACTAGTAGTAGTCTGCACTGATGTTTTAATTAAACATCCCCAGACATTTTTCTACATATTTCTCCAAGGCATGCACCACAGCCTACTAACCAGGCCTATTTCCTCCAGGATGACAGCAACTCTCCTGCTTTAACCATTCATCTCCCACCACTTCAAGCATGTGTGCGTGGAAAGGCCTGGTAAGCAGAAACTTTTTAACGTGCAGCCATGATCAACACAAATTGCTATTTAATACACACTTCCTTTGTGCAATGCAACATTGCTCTTCTGTCAATTCCCTTTCGGTATGAAATACCACCACCAAAAATTGTTCACTTTGCCTTCAAGGCAGGCAGTCCACTGAAACATTGACAGCTGGTGACAGGCCCTGAGAGCTGTGCTTGCCTAAACAGTGAACACCCAATAGCAACGCACTAGCATGATCCAGAAAGTCCTCTCTTAGGGATAACAGGATGTTTCCACTGTGTCTAGAGACACTCAAATGCCAGGTGCCTGGATGGGACTACCAATCAAGTTGTCATCAGCAACAAAACATGATGCTGGAGTTTTGATAGAATTCCAGTCTGTTGCCAAGTGCCTGAAGGAAACAACCTAACAGCACCGATACCAACTTCTCACCCCCTCCATCTGCACTGATGTTGATCAGCAACAAGGCACAACAGGCTCGTGTCTCTTGGCTCGAGTCTCACAGGCCCTGTTTGCACCTGCAAGCAGGGATTGCACTCACTGTATTCCTGCAGGTTGAGCTCCTTCACAGCATGGATGTCACTGAGTTGTGCAATACGAGCCTGGACCTTTGTACGTCCTTCTCGACCAGTCATATCAATCTTCTCAATCATCTGCTGCTGCCTGTCAATCCAGTACAGCCAGTTCTCAAAGACAGTTAGTCCCACAGGCTGCAAGATATTGGAGTCTTCCAGAACGATCCTGTTAGCACCTGCAGAAGGGAGAGAGTGCTTTGGTTCTACTACGCAAAACTGTCAGAAACATCTTCTACACTACTCACACCATTATTTTTCACTACTTTTATGCTACTAGGTAAGCATACTACAAAAATCCAGGCAGTTCTGGGTCCTCTGATGCAAGACTAATGCATTTTGCAGACAGATGATCAAATTTTTTTTCAGCTTTCACCAAGAAGAGAGTTTTTGTGCTCAAAAAATATCTAGTGTATTTAAGAAGCACCTGGAGTGGAGGGGGTCATCTCTCATGAGCCTTTCTCATGAGTCTCTTATCAATATGATGGAAATAACTAGTTCTTTTCATTCTTTTTTCCCTTTTTGAGAGATTAATTGCTTTGTCTTGCCATACAACGGGGAATAAGAAAATGGATTATTGGCTTCAGCTAACCCATACAAGATAAATTCCAAGTGAAAGCAGGGTAATTAGGACTTCTCACATGAATGATGAGATTAACACTTCTGACTTCCTCATGTTCTTTTCTTTCAGCTACATTACCTTCGCTAAGCTGCTAGTGCTAAATTGGGAATGCTCCTTTCTTTCTAGCAAAGACTTACTTTCCTGAATTCCTTTAGCAATCACCAGACAAGAGGCCTTACACCTCTGAATTGTTGTTGATTTCTATGCCAGATTTTCTGGCATTAATACAGTCAAGAGCAACTGTCACATTTCATGGTTAACTCTCCACATGAACAGAACACAGCCAACAGTTGCTTTAAAAGTATCACTAAACTCTGAAGACAGTGAAGACTTTGTAACTCACACAGAAGAAAAATGTTAGTCAAAACCTGAGGGCTCAGGAGGGAGGCTTAATCCATGCTTCCTTTATTTAACATGATGACGTGCTCATTAACAGTCAAATATTCAGTGAGTTGATCAGATTCTGAGCACAAAATTACTTGCGAAGCACATGGAATCTGCTTCAATTTCGAAAAGCTGAAACAGGATCACACAAGTCAAGGTAAAGCTTGAAAATTTACCTCTAAATCCTGGTATTTCTGATATCTGAGCTCACTACTGTGCTTATTTTTCACTTCTACTACAGCTTTACATTGTTCATCCATAGAATGATTTACCCTAAGTTTTTATATTTTTGTTCTGTGCAAATATACTAGAATAACTGAATACCAGGGAAGAAAATCTACCTTAGCCACCCAAGATAACTTTACAGGACAGAAGACATATGTACTTCATGATTTTGTACTTTGAATAAATTCTATCCCTCTCTGCTTTGTTTAGTAGCATGAAGGTGTTTTTTGCTTGTTGAGAATTTAATCAACATTATGTCAATGATGATGACTTAGAAACAAATTCAGCTATGAAAAATGAATTTACCTCCTTTTCACTAAATGCACAGAGAGCTCATAAATTAAGTAACCTTCCAAATATTTACCAAGCATTGAAACCTGAAGGAAAACATGGGAATTCAAATCAGCTAGGCTGGGCTCTCACCTCCACTTTGGAGCAACACCAGCAATGATCTGATTAAGAAAAGACGTTGATGAATTCTGAAGGAGGTTATACCCAGACTGATGTAGAAATGAATAGACTGAGTGATGTAAGTCAACCTAAATAACTGCAACCATCTATTAAACTCCAATAACATGACTAATTCTGTCAGGAAAAGGTAAGAAACAGAAACCTGCATCTTGAGAAATAAAGTTAAGCTGAGAATAGGGCAAAATGCAAGGAAGACAGGAAGGAATACAAAAGCTAAAACCTTGACCTACCCAAATGTAGTCTGTACATGCCCTGCTCTGCCATGCCCATGTCAATCAGCATGGATTTTGCAGCATGTTCCTAAAACTCTGAAGCTTAATATTTTCACTGCCTTAATGTCTTAATCTTTCTTTTTAATATTTGTGACCAAGTGTAACTGACTATTTCTGACTAAATTGAGACATTAAATCCCTTCTTCCATAAACCAACAATGAAACCCGAAGCTGACTCATCAGGGTGCTAGTCTCCTTTATTGGGAATGTCAGATGAAAGGGAGACATGATTAAGAGGAGCTTTGTCTCCTGGCATCACCATCCCCTTTCCAGCAATACCATTTACAAAAAGACTTAAAACCAACCAAATAAATACAAAAATCAGGACACACCCATAGCTCATTCTATTTCCAAATAAAAATTACTTAATTCCAGAATCATTAGACATTTCCAAATCACAATAATTATTCTGGAATAGAAGAACTAATTTCCAAATAGTTTCCATGGCAGGGAGCTAATTCCAGTCATCTTTTCATAAACAACCCCTTAATCATGTGAAGAATCTGCTTAACTTCAATAGGATCTCCCATTTGGGCAGAATAACCAAGTCCTAACTGCATGCCTGAAGGACAGGGAGGAAAAGAAGGACTACATCACATAAAAGGCATCCTAGCTGTCCTTGTCTTTATGGGTACTGGAATCTACAGAACTGACAGAGCAAGAGACTGAATGTTTTTAAGAAGCTAACATGCAGAAAAATTACTCAGCTGGTCCAAAGAGCTTATTAATCAGCCTTCCTAAGCACGGGAATGCATCTCAGCAGTCAGCAATTTATTGTGGTGATTAAAGCAATCTATTTGTGGTGCAAATGCCAAAAAGCAAGGGAGGTTTTGGAATGGTTTTTTCTTGTGCTCTTCGAAATATGGTTTGTAAAGTAAAAACTTTTACTACATAACATTGGTGATCCAGCAGCCACATCTTTAAGGAAAAAAAAGAAGCAGAATCATTAAACCTAGACTGAATTAGAATTTAGACCCATCTCCTTGTCTGGTGTTCTAATTTCAGGAAGATAACAGACAAAGAGAGAAATAAAGCACATGTAATATTCTCCTCCCTGTTACTCTGTTACTCATGCAAACCCTGGATCTGGGACAGCTTGGAATGTACCAAGCAACACCACAGCACTTTTTTTTTTTGTTGTTCTTTAATAATTCACTAACTCAGGTTGTGTCTTGCATTTTAAAACAGTAAACAATCGTCATATCACAGTTCAGTAGTGACCCTGCATCTTCCAGTGACACACCACTGAAAAAAATTACTGTCTTTCTGAGCTTAAATTCCAACCATCTAGGAAAAACAAGATGTTTTCCAAACCAAAAGCTTATTCTAGGAACTTTAAAAAAGGCTGAAAATTCAAGTGGTGTCAACAGGGTTACATGCTGCTACTTTGAATGAAGGTACCATGTCATAAGTGGAAGACATTACCACAAACATTACTGCAAACTGTCATAACTCCTTTTATGTTTTCAGCTCTCACTTCCAGCAACAACATCCAGCCCAATCTGTATCACAAATTAGTACTGATGCTATATGAGGCAGCTGAGCTGATCCAGCACTTTGCTGGATTAGGCTAGTAAATGAAAGACATTTGTCTTTCTTACCCAATCTGGACCATATAATTTTCCCCTCTTCTCTTGCTCCACTTCTGGTTGCTTGCTGGACTCTGTCCTGAACCAATGCAGCTTTCCAAGCCAACAGAACACCATTCTCTATTTGTCTTTTTCTGTATAATCTTGTTAGGTTATTGTTAAATGGGTTGAATGAACTCATAGAGGAGGTCAGACAAGCAGCATAACCAATCTTGGGGAGCAAGCAAAGAGAATTCCACAGCTGGAAGAGGAAGGTTTTTGTCTTTTGAGGACAGAGGGATATTACATCTTCTCTATCCTCACATCTTTTCACCCCATATGACAGGTACAAAAGTAACTGGACACCTGCTGCTTCAACTCTGCAGGACATATTTTTCCACTAACAGGGAACTTTCCTCTGATTGACAGATTACTGCACCAAAAGCAATGCCTTTAAAAACAACCCTTTTTCTCCCCTTTCCAAAACTGCTGCTATTTATTCGTCAGCTGACTTTGGGAAACTACACGAAGGTTTTGCAGTGAGAAACCAAAGTAAATAGCATGTGTAGCAATTAATAATGCAAATCACAGAGTCATGAAACTGTAAAGACACGCTGCATGAATCATGCACATTCCCTGGCTGGGAATTCAGGGAGTGATTAGAATCATAGTACAGACTGTTTATAGTAGGAAGGAAAAGATGACACCTTTCTCTGCATTCCCCCACACCCACACCACACAAATGAGTCACTGAATTAAGGTGCTACTCTACCTGAAAGGTCACTGCTTTCAATTCTGCGCAGATCTGAGTCAGCCCAGAACAACTTGCCCAGCTGGCTGTCAACAGCTAAGGCGATGGGCTTGCTCAAACCGCTGAAAAAAAGGACTTCTCGCTCAGTTCCATCCAATGCTGCTCTCTCAATTTTAGGAGATCTCTCCTGGAGGTTGGTGAAATACATGTATCTGGAACAGGAATGATTAGAGGAAAAAAAAGGTTCATTTGATCTTTCCACATTTTTGCTATATATCCAAAACATCTTAACAAATGTCAAAGTTGTTTTTCATTCTGACAAACAGAAAACAAGCTGCAGCAAGAAAACAACTTGATTCTCAAAACCCTGGGCCTGAGTTTTCCCACATACCCTTTCTCTGGATTCACCACAATGGCTCTGGGCCTATCCTGATCCCCCTTGAGCACCACTCCCATGGGTCTCCCATCCAGGCGAGTCACGTTGATGACGTTGGTGGCCTCGCAGGTCCAGTAGATGTAGCGGCTGTAGATGTCAATGCTCAGGTCATAGGGCTGCATGTCCAGGTTCTGATTGGGAACTGGACTTGTCACAACAGTGAGGCTCTGCAAAGAAAAGAGAAACAACACACAGGAGAACATTTAATCTAATGTGAATAACTTTATTTGCTATGGATGCACCATGTGTAACTACTGCTCAGAAAAGGGAGACAGCCAAAATATTAGCATAAAGTAAGGAGAGACCCAGGTTCTGTTGCCACATCAACACCTTTGATAAGATAGAGACACTTAGTCCTGATGGTTTGCTGTAATGGCAATCACACAAGCTGACTGCAGCTTGTAAGACTTTGCAAGTTTGACCAGTAAGTCCAAATTTTCTCTGTGTTCAAGGTCCAGAGTCAGCTCCTGTATTTGCTCTACTTTTGTGACAGCTCAAGAGCTCAGTTTGGATAGACCCAAACCCAGCACATTTAACACTCTACAATAGAAATGTACCACCACTAATTCCCAAAGTTGCAGTTGAGCAGAGAAAAACAAAGGCAAAGTGAGGCCAGACAACACTTGAAACGCTGGCCTCTTTCTTGTCCACCATTGCTGCCATCTCAGTTGGAGGACATGAGGGTGGTTAACAAATGGAAGGCAGCTCTGCCAAAGATGGAAAGTACATCAGCTAGTGTACAACACTGACTTCAGAGCATTTCCAGCTAACACCTTACTAGTTCAAGGTCTTGCCTTCTACTGGTCTAGACTTCTGGAGTTGGCATGCCTTTTTCTTCTTTTTTAATTATTATTACTTTTAGAAAGAACCTCATCAACATATTTAATGGACTTTTCTAAAATTCTGAAGAGGATTAATAAATCACTAAACATGGCCTATATAAACATTTTTGAAGCCACGGTTATGAAGTGAGCAGCCTCTACCCTCTCATCTCCAAATTAAACTTCACCAGAAAATTTGCCTAACTTTATTTGGCTTGTCACCTCTATGAAACGGTATGCCTGCAAGTCTTCCATTTGTTTATTCTGCTGAAGCTGGCAAAAACATGGTGGCTTTGACTAGTTTTGGCTATTATTTAGATATTCCAAAATTAAAAGCATTGCTAAATTAAGAGTTAAGGCTGAAGGGCATACAGCAGGATCCAACTACTACCACACCCACCACCAGAAACCACACTCTTAAAATTCAGCTGAATATAGCACCTCTCTTGTGTTGTGTTGCTCATCTTAGTCTCTTGCTCGTCCCACATTTAAAAAATCAGTAAGAAAAGATCTATTTTAAAATGAAAAATTGAATAAGCAGTTACTGGTCACAGTTAACCTCACTGAACTTGCATATTGGGTTTGTATGACCAGGTTTTGGTTGGGGGTGGGGGCTATAGGGATGGGTTCTCTGAAAAGGTGCTGGAAGCTTCCCCCATGCCCAGCAAAGCCAATGCCACCGAATCCAGGATGGTCCCACTACCGGCCAAGGCTGGGCCAATCAGGGATGCTGGTAACACCTCTGGGATAACATATTTAAGAGGGAAAAAAGTTATTGGGAAAAAGCAATTGCAGTCAGAGAAGAGTGGAATGAGAATATGTGAGAGGAACAGCCCTGCAGACATCAAGGGCAGTGAGGAAGGAGGGGCAAGAGCTGCTCCAGGATTCCCCTGTGCCCCTGCAGCCCATGGAGGGCACAGGGGTGCAGAGATCCACTGCAGCCCCTGGAAGAGTGCTTGCTGGAGCAGGGGGATGCCCAAAGGAGGCTGTGACCCCATGGGAAACCCCATGGAGAGAAGAGCCCACACTGGAGCAGGTTTCCTGGTAGGATGTGTGACCCTGTCAGGGACCCAGGGCCTGTTCCTCAGGGACTGCACCCCACAGGAAGGACTCACACTGGAGCAGTTCATGAAGCAAACATAGCCCATAGGAAGGACTCATTTTGGAGGCAGAAATTAATGGAATACTGTCTCTGGTGGGAGTGACGCCACACTGGAGCAGGGAAAAGACTCCTCTCCATGAGGAGGAAACAGTGGCAGAACAAAGTGTGAGGAACAGACTGTAATCCCTTATCCCAGCTCATGAGCCTTTTGCTGTATCTTACTTCCCCTGTCCAGTTGAGGAGGGAAGTGACAGGGTGGTTTAGGTGGGTGTCTGGCCTCCAGCCAGGGTTGAACCACCACAGCCTGTATTACCTTTTGCCTTCTACCCTACTCTAATTTCTCTGTATTCTCCAGTCAAATATATTTTCCCAAGACTGCTACATGTTTTACAGGTTCAGTCTAGTCACTCCTGTGATTTACAACATCTCTCTTCCTATCTGCTCCAGAACCTGGGAGGCTCCAGACACGGCAGTGTGCTCACACAGCTCCAGCCTCCTCGTTTCAGAGGATCTACCCCTGCACTCTGCTCACATACCTTTGTCACACCCCCCGTTTCTCCCAAGAACCTTCCCTTCCATGTTTCATATCTCAAATATGGGCTTCAAACAGCTTCCAGACAAAAGATAGTGTTGAGCAAATAATGTGCTGGGAAGAACAGTATGCTCAAGCTGGCCTTGGTTTTCCATGTTTTATTTATTGCTGCACCTTCCAGATTTACTGGATTACTGGGATTTATTCAGATGACTGAGGACTCCAGAAAACTCCGGATGACAGTCGTTTTGCCAAGGGACACAAGGGACAGTAACCTAGGGGTGCATCTAAGTTATCCCCACACAAGCAGTCATTGTTTGGTACAGGCATGCCAAACGTTCAGCAGTTCCACCCCCTCAGGATACCTGGCTGCCATCCTCCTGTGCCTTGCGGATGATGTTCTGCCGGGAGTCAATCCAGTAGAGCTGCTTGTCCAGGGGGTCGTAATCAATGGCGCGGACGTTGCGGAGGCTGTGGATGGGGAGAATGATGTCTGGGCTCTGCTGCTCGTCTATCACCATGCGATTGATCGCGTTCTTCTGACTGAACAACAAAAAGGTGGTAGGAGCTGGATGGGTTAAAAAAAGAAAAGGGGTTGAAAGGGTTACACGTGGCAATAACACTGGGCATTTTTATGTTTATGAATGACAACTGCAATCCATAACCAGACATTTATTTCATTCCCCTTTTCCCTCTTCCTTTGCCAAAACCAAACAAAAAAATCAAAACATAACAATCCTAATCTCTGATGACTACGAAAAGCCTTTCAAATTAACTCTTTTTACTATAAATGTCTGTACGTGAATGTGATAGGCAAAGATCAGATTTTTTAAGTGGCAGAACTAGTAAATGCGAAGACTTCTGTCAAAAGCATCTCAAAGAAGAATGGTCAATTATGCCTCTCAAAGAACTGCCCATTTTCTTTCTAAAGGGGTCTCAGGGAAATGCAGCTCCACTATATTGAAATTGAACCCTTTGCTAGGCGCACTCCTACTTGCAGAGGAAGGTAAGAAAAAGCCAGCACCGGTTCCTTATTTAGATGTTTCAGGGAAAAGAGACTGACAGTGGTTCAGTCCTGTTCCTACAAATCCTTTTTCTGCTTGTACAGGAATGAAACAAGTAATTCACAGGAAAATTTCTTAACTGTGTGTGAGGCTGTGTTTTTGGAGAAAAATGCATTTGCTCTTCTCAAAGCTATGTATTTTTACTATTTCTAGGTGGTTATCTGGGAATGACAACATGCAATGAGAAAAAGAAGTCTGATATTCTGCTCTGCAAAAATTTCCTGGACAAATGTTTGTTCTTTGTAATTAGAAATACCATCAAAGAGCAAAAGGTAAGATTTCAACACCTCACACAGCTGTAGTTTACCAGCTGTAACTTACAGTAAGTTCAAAAAGCATTTAATACATCACTGAGAAAAATTAATCTCTGTATTACGTAACTGGGAAAGAAATCAGAGAAGGTAGTGAAAGCATTTTCCTTTTTCAGAGCACTCTTTTCAATAATGCTCTACCTGAAGCCACTGCTGTGCAAGATGGTACAAGAGCAAATTGCCAGAAATGCAGTTGAAGCCTCCCTGAAGTTTGTACAATCAATTCTCTACAGCCCATGCCTGTAGTGAGATTAGCAGTGGGACACTGCATTCATTTACCAGCCTGTAAAACAGGTAATGCAGCACCTGGGAAAGGGGAGGAAGCAAAAGTCTCCTAGAAAACATCATCACCTTGCTTTGTTATTTTAGCATAGCTTTGAACAGCTATTCGGACTGCTGGGAAAGAAAAGAAGCAGGGAGGAGTTTCCTTGGAAACCAGCACTCTCTCCTAACATCTTCTAACAATCAGGCCTAATTGCAAGGTATTTTTGCTTTCTGGAAAATCTCTATTTTCCCTCCAAGCACTTCTCCAATAATTTAAGCTGCCTTCTACTTGGCTCTAAACCATGTACAAAAGCACAAAAAAAAAAAAAAGCGAAGACAAGTTTCTATGAATGTGTACAGCAAAATAATGGATTCAGAAACATCGGAATTCTTACCAAGAAATTATGATAGAAATGGAAAGGGAAAAAACTTAAGGTAAACGTCTAAGCACATAAAATTATTTCTACTCTTCCCCAAAGATACCCTCTCACTTTCTAAGACTGCCTGGCTTACAACTTTGAATTGATGGCTCATTATAAAAAGCAACAGCAGAACTTCTCCCCTTGAGACTCCACATCTCTGAAACAGTACCAATTTCAGAAATCCCTTTCCAGTTTTCATCATTCTCCCTCCCAATAGTCACATATTTTAACTGTATTTTTGGCAGCAGGCAAATGGAGTGCATTGAGTATGTCTCTTGTGTAACCCTGCCTTCCAACTTCATGACACGTGGTAGGTCTGAAGAGATCTCACCAGAGTATAATTAAAAGAACCTATGCATTCATGAGCAGGGTATTCTGGAAGGGAGGACCTCTAGACAGGGCCTGGACTAATAATGTTCAGGAGGTACATCATAAGCAAGTAATACAGGCAAAAGAAAGTTAAAACAATTCACACTCCAATTATAGTGTCCAAAAAAAGGAATTAAATTATACACAGAGAGGCCTAAATCTCCAATTAGCTACAAATGAGAAGCTGGAAATTTCCCAGGTTTGAATATGGCAGAGGAAAACTCCTAATACCGCACAAAGAGCCCTGAACTGTGCCATGGGGAAATGGTTCTATTTGCTCGCAATGTATTTCCTATATTTTGCTCCTTGCTCTGTTTCCAGGAGCATTTTCACAAGAAAAACATGACCTTTGATCATTCTGCTACTTTTTCTCCACTGGAAGTCAAATTCCTGCACCTAGAAGATCACAGTCACTATCAGAGAAATGCCAGCTGTGCCTCTAACTTGCACAAACACGTGAAAGTACCAGGGTGCAAGAATACAGCTGTCATGCAAGGGGCCAGTGTAATAAAAAAAGAAGAGGAGAAGTACAGAACACATGGGGAGTAGAAAAGCACAGTTTTTTGAAAAGCATGGTTTTCAAAAAATGCCAGGAGGTGGCATTTGTGCAACAATCTGCCCAGCTTTTGGCTTTAAGACAACAGTTGGATGTCTCTACTCATGCATAATGTGGATGAGATACAATCTGTCTCTCTGTACCAGGAATCTCTTCACCCACTGACTAATGTGAATGACACCAGTGGAAATCAGCCATCCAGAGTTGCTGCCAAAATTATGAGAGCTTCACTGCAGCCAGTTATTGAGAGATGGATAAATTATTTGGTTAGAAACTAATTACACACAGCCTGAGGGGCCTTGCGGTTTGTATTCTGCACAACAATAAAGAAAAATGGGGCTTGGCTGCACTGAGATCAGGAACCAGACTGCTGGGGAAGCCATGGAGCCCAACCCATCCTCACTGAGGGAAAACACTTGTAGAGGTCTGAGAGTGGCCCACCTCAGCATCTCATCAGCCAGCAAACACAGCTGCTACAGAATGAAATCCTGACCCCATAAAAGCTGCACAAAATCTAGAATCCAGACTAAAGTATCACATATCCTTTATGGCAGGCAAGACTAGGAATATATAAGCAGATAAATAAATAAGGAAGTAAGCACTTGAAGAGGGTCTAACAGTGACACAGAACCAAAACATTTTTAGCTTTTGTGTTTACACTGATGTAGCCAAGCCAGTGGAAAATTTCACTAACAGCCATTCTTCTTATTTAATTAAGATACTGGTATGTTGCAAGATTATTTTCTTTTTCTTTTTTTGCTTTCAACATCCTATGTTGTCTTAAAACTCAGTAAGATATAGTACTGGAAAACTGTAAAACTCTTCTTTCTTCCAAGTACAATGCTGGCATGAGTCACTTAACACATGTGCTCCTGCATTTCCTGTTCATTCCCTGTGGCTTACCACTGCAGGTCCTGTTGTCGGAGTTCAAGGAATAGTGAGCTGGGCAGCCACAGACAAAGCCTCCCACAGGGACTGCCAGGCACAGGTGGGAGCAGTGCCCATTGCTGGAGGCACACTCGTTCCAGCCCGCCTGCCGGGAGGAGTGGAAGACCAGGATGTCCATAACGTAATCCAGGTGGCCCTGGATGATGGTTCGGTTCTGGCCACTGGTCTTGTTGGCCCGTTCGATGCTGCGCCGGCTCCAGTCTGTCCAGTAAATGTAATCCTGGTACTGGGTCAGGCCAAAGGGATGAGGCAAATCATCAGCTATGATCTCACGGTCAAGGCCTGTGTACAAAAAGAAGGGAGAGAAAAGTGGACTTACATGGGCACAAGCAGTATACTGTTGAACATGTCCCCTGCCCAGAAAGGTTGCCATGCCATTACTTTAAAGTTACTATTTCATCATTACAAGAGTAAATTACGAAGTAATGTACAGTAATCAAAAGCAATCTCAGAGCCTATCACAGAAATGTGCTAATCCTGCTTGCCATTCACTGAAAAAATGTAGTTTACTGAAGAAAAAATTTCAATTTCAAAAATTATCAGGGTTCTCAGAAAGATTCTGTCCTTTCCCTCCTTCCCAAAACTAACAGGATGCCTCCCAATGTAAATGCAGGATCGTGACACTGTATTTCCAGTTGAGCATCTCTTGCACCACACTTTTCCCATTGCTTATAAAAAGGAAATTGTTATGAACTTAATGAAATACTACATTGCATTATGAGAAAAATTAAATGTACAAGGCTAAAATAACTTGTCTCTGGAATGTTGCAACATTCCAGAGCAGCCAGAAAGTCAGGAAAGGGAACAGCTAATTGTGTATATCGTGGAAATGTTAAGAGATCTTAAGGAGCAGGACACGGCAGGGGGAAATAATTTCAACTCTGTTTTATCAACCACTTCATTATCATGGTAGCTCCTGCTATATAGTCACACAAAATGAACAGGAGATTATGAAGCACGAAGTCATTCCCTCTTTGCACACAGAGGTCAAGGACGCACAGCTCCACACCCTGCTGTCACCAGCCACAGGCACAGGGAAAAAAAAGCTCTAATATAGTTTCCAGTTCCACATTTCATAGGGAAACATGGAGCAGGCCTCCACAGCACACCAAAATATATGACAAGCTGAAGAAAAGCTTTTCTATCACACGTAATTCCCATATTGCATTTTCCTGTTTTGATCTTTTTCTAGCTTTGTTCCACTACTGCAAGCATACTGTTTAAAGCAGACTAACTCCTTTAGCATTAAATACTGGCTAATTATTAATGCTTAAATACTGGCTATTGTTAATGCTAATCTGAATAACTTAGCATACAACAAGGCAGTTCACTCCTATGGGTGCTGAGAGGTTAAAACAAGGTACTGTGCAAATCTGTGAGGGCCTAGGTCCTACACAGTACTCTGGAACAGAAATAAAGAAAGAATAAAATATTCCACCTCCATTTAGCTGCAATAACCACTTTATAAAATCATCACAGACCCCAGCACAAGAGAACTCTCCTGCTGATAAACACTAGCTAGGAAAAGGTCCTTAACATGCAGAATACAGGGGGAGAAAATGCCTGAGGATACTAACAAAGATATAAAACCAAATTGCATTAAATTGCATGTTCAGTAAGATGTTATCTTCTTGCTGACTTTCTTTCTACCTTTGTTATGTATTTTCTAGTGCTCTTGAGAGTAGCAAAACAAGACCCTCCAAAACACTGCAAGATGACATCTTTGTCCTACATATAACTGGAAATATGCACACCTTGTGTACTTTTAACTTTCTGAGCAACCCAATCATTTACAAGAAAATCGAGGCCTTGCTAAGCACAGTATTACATGAACATGAACTATAGAAGCAAACATTAAAGGTGTGAGAGGTCAGGAAATTTTATTTTTCTCTTAGGATGTGTATCTTATTTAAGCCACAGTTTGTCATGAGGGAGCTGCAAAAAGCAGCATTGCCCTCAGGATGCTGCCCAGGGCTCTGGGGCTCACCTAACATGTTGGAGGACTCTATCAGGTTGGTGTCCAGGTCGGTCCAGTACAGGCGTCTCTTGGCGTAGTCAATGGTCAGGCCGTTAGCACGTCCCACGTTTGGGACCAGCGTGGTCCTCTCACTGCCATCCATGGCAGCTCTGTCAATCTTTGGCTTGCCACCCCACTCAGTCCAGTACATGAACCTGATTAAAACAGCAGAAGAAAGAAAAAGAATTGCATTCAATCCAACAGAACTCAAGAGGAAAACCAAAACAAAAATCCTTAGAAAGAATAAGAGAAAAAGAAGAGCTGTAAATTCAAGCTTTATTAAGCTTTATTTATTAAGACCCATTGTGATAAATTAGTTTGGGTTTTTTTTTTTTTTTTTCCAAAGTGGAGGCAAGAAAGTGAGTCAAGTTTCCTCAAAATGCTTCCAACATGATTTTTTCCCACTTGGGCCTGGATTTTTACCAGCAAGTTCTGTGTGACAGCACTTTGCTAGTAACTAATCCATGCAAGTCATTTAAGAGGCAGAGGCTGGCAGTCAGGCACCTTCATTTATTATTAATAATTATTTAGCAGGTTATTTTCCAGAGCACTTATCTTCTGTTTCTAGTCAGCTGTCTCTCAAATGAAGGAACACAAAAATATAGATCTGCAGGGTACTTTTGTTAATAGGCACCACTACTCATGTCCACACAACTAAGTTAACCAGACACGTACACAAGTGTCTTACATCTCAGCCAAGACACACAAAACTGTATGGCATTTCTGCTGGAGCAAAAATACAATTATTACACACTCACATGCCAGCTTATGCCTCATTTGGAAGAAGGACAGACTTGCACATGTTTACACTTTATTTGGGCACTGCACAGTAGAGTAGGATGTATATTTTATATATTATATATTTGATAGCTAGTTAGTCACTTCTTCCAAAACATGAAGCTGATACCACTCCAAAATAAAAGTGAGAGGCAGCTATCCAATATTTACACCTTTGGGTTTTAATAACTCTAGTAACAAACCCCTGGGAAGTCTTTCAGTTCCAACCAACTGCCCAATAGGAAAGGCTGCTTCAGAAACTGATGATCAATGGGGACAAATTCATTACACACCAGGAATACTTGCAAATTTTTCTTTAAAATTTTGCAAGTCCTTTGTGTATAAATTTTGCAAGTTGGACACAGCACGGAGCCAAGTGTTACAATTGCCCCCATGGCAGCAATGCTTTGAAAACTTCCATTTAAAGTACAACTATACTGTATGTATATTTATATAAGTATACATACATATATAAGTATACAGCTATTGCTGTAAGGAAAAACAGGCATTCTGAACAAGTAGGTTTTTTTTCTGATCTGCGGTGAAGAGACAAAGCACTGCATGATGATAATCCTTGGGAAAAACCTACTTCCAGCATAAAACCAGAATCATCCATAGCAGCCTTTTGTTATAAATGAGTAACTGGATCTAAGAATCTGATGTTGAATTCTCATCCAGGCAACCCCTGGCACATCAGGGCTGAATCCAATCTAGAATCCCACTGGAGGTGACCACTGCCACCAGCTTGTTGAAATAAAGCAGAAAGAATGTGTTTCAAGTTCTCTGAGCTGCTATAGCTCTCACAGTGTGACTGGGAACTGTGATAATGTCATAACCCCTTCAAATGAAGTTCCTTCATTTGAAAAATAATGCAATATTGGTATAACCTAAAAAAGTTTTTGCAGTAATTAGTTACTGTCAAGTGAGCATTTCAGGGTAGAAGAGCTATTTCAGAAGCTGAATAGTTAGCTTGACTTGCCCCATTCCTTCCTCCCTCTCCCTGTTTATTGCCCTACTTTTGCTGTTACACTTCAATCCAACTGAGAAGTTGGAAAATCTTTCATTTGGGAAATAGGTGAATATAATTGTTTCCACTCCTTCTCTGTCCCTCTTCCCTTGTCTGTGCAAAATAAAAGGTTTCCTTATCTGAAGCAACAAATATCTTCCTTATGCTCAGACTATAAACTCCGCTCTCCCACCCTCAAATTAAATAATTTAATACCTTTATTGGACCCTAACTTCTAAAACGATAAATATATTCCTTTCAATGCTATAGTCCTTTTCTGATTAATGAATTTCATAAACCTAAAACTACTTTGATTCTGTGCTTAATTAAAAAACTAAATATAAATCCCATTCTAATGAGTGGCTCTGATTTTTTTTTTTAGTGTTTTTAATGATTATTCAGGACATTAAGAGTGTATTTCTCTAAATTACCAGGTTGTATTCCCCAGCTCAGTCCTCTCAGGGCTTACAGACAGTGCTTAACTACCATGCCCTAGAGGAAGCATTACAGTGTTGTTTTTCACTGTTCATGAACACAGAATGAAATCAGCGAGTTACCCCTCGGCAGGGTCGAGTGCCAGTGCCCGAGGACTGTCGAGATCTTTCCACACAAGCACCTGGCGGTGCTGCCCGTCCAGCTTGGACACCTCGATCCGGTTGGTGCCAGTGTCAGCCCAGTACAAGTTCTTCCCCAGCCAGTCCACAGCCATGCCCTCGGGATAATCCAAGCCGAACTCCACGACGTGTTCCAGCGCGCTGCCATTCATAAACGCTCTGCTGATGGTCTGCAGGGATACAAAGATACACAGGCAAATTAGAAAACTTACCAGTCTGTCACTGGGCTGCTTGTTTTCTTTGTTGAATTTTAAACACTTTCAGATTTTAGACATCTCATAGGAAAGAGGATCTTACAATATGCTACTTATTTGCAAAGCAAACAATGCTGCTATTCAGAAGTAATGATTTATTGCACTCTGTGAATGTATTCTGTGTCAATTACAATAGCATTTCACTGGGGAAATAAATGGGATAACTAGTCTGGTTGAATTAAGCATCTACATGACAAAGTGACCTTAATAACTCAGTGCCAACTTCGAGGGGAAAATATTTTGGCTCTCCCAGGACTATACAAAAGCATCAATGTTATAGCATGGAACACTATTTAAAGCAGCCTAATGAAAAAAAAAGTGCAGGACAGAACAGCAAATAGAAGAAAACAACCAAATGACTGATGAGCTCAGTAGTTTCAGTACTGATGGCTAAATTTAATTTCACTAAGCACAATCTCTTCTTGGACTTTTATTCACTTTATCCTGCCATCAGGATCAGCCTGTGATAGCAGATACAGCCAGAATGCCATTTTAATAATATATTAGAGTTTAGGCATTCCCTGATAAGCCTGAAAATGCAGACTCATTTAAACTCTGTGTTTTTAACTACTATGATTCTCCAATTGCGAAAGTCCATAAGTTATTGTTGGCACATGTCTCAAGTCAGTTGCAGAAAATGTAATTAAAAATGAAACTCCTGTACATATCCCTTGAATTTTGTAAACCCCATTAATCAACCTACTCTTAAAAATCTCAAGGAGCATGTAGCAGCTTAATAGCCAACATGGACTAAATCTCTACCTTCAGTGAAATGTCAGTCCAGTAAATGCGATTGTCTGTCACATCAAAATCCAGAGCAGAAGCTTCTTTGACTCCAGTGAGTGGAATAGCAACGTTGTTATTGTTGGTTTCCAGGGAGATGCGCCTGATGTCTGCCCTCCTGGAGAAGAGCAGGAAAGCTTCTGGCACGATGCAGGTCTTCATGTCACTGATGAGCTCCAGGCCGATGGGGCAGGCGCAGCGAAGGCCTTGTGGTCGGTACAGACACAGGTGGCTGCAGCCGCCGTTGTCTTCTGCACAGGGGTTTGTACCTAAGCGGGCAGCGAGAGGAAAAGCAACCACTGCAAACTGACTGCAGGTGAAAGGTGAAGGTAGTCCTCACATGCATCAGCCATACTATGAGTCCTCCAAGCAAACATGCATTTTTCTCTTTGTATTCTCTGATCAAATTATTTTTCATTCATTTCCTGTAATCCTTTAGACCTTACTCTCCTTGGCTGGAAAGCCAGTGATTGTTTTCCTCACGCCAAGAAACAAACCCGGCACTAGGGAAAGGGGTCTGGGCTTCAACAGCTACTGATGATCCCAATTCACAGCACAAGTACTGAATGCTTGTACGTTCTGCTGCCTTTCACAGTACCCTGGTCCAGCTACATACCCCCTTGCATTCCTGCAGGTAAAAAACTCGCAGAGCTATTTTCACATCCATTCAATGGTCTCTCCAGGATGCAAGCGAAGCAGCTCTTTGCAATACTCACTTATGTACCTGCACATGCTGGAAATTGAACTAAGAGAGGCTTGGCACTAAGGAGTTCAATTGGCCAAACTGGAAAGAGGGCTGCATTCAAAACACACATACCTTGGGACATCAGCCACACAAACATACGAATCAACTACATTTCACTCCTTTCCTGCAGTACAATCCAGACAGGACAGTGAGAAGCTGCAAGCCTTTTGCACATAGGATACTCACGTACTGTGATGAGTTCTGTGATGCTACAATTATACTGCTACCAGTGCTTGCACAGCCTAGGATAGGCAATTTAAAGCTAGGCGCTGCTTTTTTACACCACAAACGCTACAGGGCAGCAAGTACTTCTGGTACTTTTAAAGATAATTTTCCAATATTAACGTAAAAACTACTGAACGGACTAAAACTGGCTCATTCTTAGCTTTTGCGTACTGGGAGCACATGTTCAGCTTGACATTCTTCCAAGCTACAGAACTGAAGGTCCTCACAGAACACCTAACCCACCCTATCAAGCTGCAGTCTGCTGTCATCATGCCATAGGACCGAGTTGTGCCCATTTCTAAAACTCTGCAGTACAGCACTGCTGACATTTTCTATCCCATTGTCCCTTGGCTGACTAGCAGACCACTCACCGATGACCTGGTGGACGTTGGTGGCTTTCAGGCCCATCAGATCGGGCAGCTGATCGATGATGATCTCTCTCTCTGCCGTGCACTTGTGCACGCGCTCAATGCTGCGCCTCTGCCAGTCTGTCCAGTAAATGTAGTCTCCCAACAGAGTGAATCCAAATATATGAGGCAGCTTGTCCTCCACCAGGACTCTCCTACCAGTTCCATCAGCATTCATGACCTATGAACACAGACAAACTTTTTAGATATATATAATAAACCTGCCACTATTTGGCAGATTAACAAACCAGCTGCTCCATGCTCAGACTTCAAATTAAAAAATAATCTCCCATGCATTATAATGCTATCAATGTTACACTGTGCCCTAATAAAAAAGAAGAGACTCTTTATTAACAGGCACTTACTCTAAAAGCCTTATTTAGAAGGTTAGTCTCGTAAGTAATGTGGAATTATGACACAACACTCATTACCTTGGCTTTAGGAACTATTATTATGTAATAATAGTTACTCCTGTTATGGCTCTCTCATTTCTTACCTGAGTTTTGGTTAAGTTTTAAAGAGGAGTCACTGTGTTTTACACAAAAGAAGACAAATTTATAATGGCCAATGAGTTCTGGCTCAGCATCTTCTAGTCCACAGTCTCTCCCAAGTGAGCTTTGCCCATGTTACAGAGAGCATTAAAAGGAGACCCCACACAAATACTGGGAGGCAAACAGTCAAGATCTACAGAGTATATTTATATTCCCCAGTCTGAATAAGGAACCAGTTTTATATTCCTCAAAATTAAGTACAGTAATTTTTTTACTACAAGGAACAGCTGTAGTCTGTAAATAATTGCATGCCTTTGATCAAGACACTTGATTTTACTGTGTCATTTTTCTCTACTGCTAAAAGGGAGTAATATCTAACTTCCTCAGTGAGGCACTGAAAGGATTAATTAAACATATGTATGCATGTTCAAGTGATCAAGTGCCTTAGGAATGCCAAGTATCATTATAAAATGTACCATACTGACAGGAGTAAAGAGTCCTATGTTTTAAGACAAGCTTAGAAATGGTTCAGTGCTGCAATTTTTCAGAAAAAAAATCCTTCTGAAATATTTCTACTTTTTTCAAGGCCATAGCTTAAGTTTACAGTATGTATACCAGCCTTCAAAAACCAGGAAAAAACCTCCAACCAACCTTAATATAAAAACTTTCAGAAACAATGTGATTCATAAAATCCAAGGTAGCATATTAATCCCTGAATCATTAAAGCATCCTTCCCACTACCCAAGCATGTTCTACGTAAATGACTGGAAAAGGGGTGGTTTATTAAACAACTGTTTTCAAATCTCTCTCACTTATGGAACTGAGATAACCACAAACAAATCTATATGGCTTCCCATCCTTCCCATGGCTCAAACCCAAAGATTTATGCAATGACAACCTTCAGGACCAACTGGTTTAGTACCTCAGACTAGACTGATGATAGCTGGTGGCCAAAATATCTTCCCAGATCACAAGAAATGTAAAGGCTAGTTTGGAGTAACTCCTACCCATGCATATATGAGAAGAGAGGAAAGGAATAGAGAAATGGAACTGAAACACACACCTTTCCCAGGACACAGTATAGTAAAATATTTATAAATTCCCTTTAAAAAGTGGAAGAAATGCTATAACCTTCACCAATAATTCAATTTCTCCTTGAAACGATACCTTGTCAAACTTCCCAACACTTTGGCACTTTGGTATATTAAAATAGGAACTGAATCTTTATGTGCACATTTTCCTAAAGGGACGCTGCATATTTGCTGGACTGTAGGAATAAGCTCCATATTTACTTTTGAAGAAAGGTCATAATTACTTTATGGAATTATCTTACCAAACCCCTTCAGCCCAGCAGAATATACAGCATGCTCCTACAAATGCACTAATGCATGTGTATCTCAAAAACAGATGACTTGTCTGTGGTGACTTGTTTCCCCCTCCCCCTCAAACTACAGAGATAAGCCATTTATTTGCAACTAATTAATACATGGCAATTAATGCTTGCTGAGCAGACCAAGAAGATACACAGAATGGACAGACATTGAAAAATGAACCAACTAAAACCACACAGTAATAAGCAATAAAACATCACCATCACAAAGTAGCATTTTTTAAAATTACATTTTTTGCCTTGCATTTATAAAAGAAAGAAAATTCTCTATTTAAGGGAGTGCTTAATTACTGGGAAAGAAAATTACTTGGAAGGTGTGTGGTGTGAGATGAACTTTCTTTGGCGAACTTTAAGAGCTGTTCAAATAAGCTTCCCCCTATATGGAAAAGGGTCAGGAAAAGAGAAGGGACTTAAGGATTAACTATCTGCTTTTAATTAATTTTTGGCTTGACATATAAAGGCTATTTTGAAATACAGCTTTACATCTCCTAGACAAAACACGCACCTTTCTGAAAGTATTTACATATACCTGCCACTCTGCTCCCACTGCAATTTTACCTGATATACACATATACATATATATACACACACACACATATAGGATAGCAGCCATATGTGTGTGTGTGTGTATATTTCAAACATATATATATATACATTTCCATGGCACCATTTTGTCTGCACTGACTTTGGCTGCGTGTTAGGTGATTTCAATAGAATTACATCCATTGGCTACAGAATCAAACAGTCTGGTGTAAGGCAGAAGGGAAGTGGCAAGGGATGCAGGAGTGATACGTACAAGAAGAATAAAGCAAGAAGGAACAATCACTTAACAACCAGTTTCAAGGGATTTCAGCACCATCTTTTCACATACTCAAACTCAGACAACAACCAAGTCCCAGGCTATAATCCTTTCTGGATTCTTTCCCCTTCCCCAGCTCCACACGGATCAGGCTCCTGACAGTGAAGCCTCACAGAATCCCATGCACAATAAACCCACCTTCAGCTGCTACAAGGCAGTGTCTCCAGAGGTTTATGCTGTTTTTAACCACAATGTGGTGTGAGTTTCACATTCTGAGGCCATTCTGAATACTGCAAATCACACTGAGAATATAATCTACAACAGGAAACAGATGTGGTGTAACCACAAACACCACCTTTACTGAAAGAGCAAGTAGTTCCATGAAAAAAAAAAATTTAAAGTGCAAAAATTAAATGGCCTCAGACAAAATACCAGATATCCTGCTTGGAGAAAAAGGGCTTTGTTTATCCTAAAACAATAATAAGTGCAAACCTATAGCCACATGAACATACAGCTTATTCAAAGTAAGCGAATTACTGCTGAAAATGTAGTCACATTTTAAAATGCTGCACTTAGTGATCAGCAGGAACAATAAAATAACTTTGAAGCACTACTTCTAATTTAAAGTTACAGACTGGAATGCACAGTGACATTCTAAGGGTCTTTCTTGTTAGAAAGATATCTTGCATTCACTTCACTTCTAAGTACCAGTAATCACTGGGATAAATAGGCTAATGCAGTGAATTTACCTTTTTGATAATCTGGGATTTAAATATATGGTAGTTTAAATTTGTCACTTGACTGCTTTAGCTCTAGAGTTTCATCATTAAATCTATGTTATTTATGAAAACCATGTTCAGCTCTGCGTAGAGCTTGTGCTGGGACCCTGGCAGCACTGCAGACCAGCAGTCCCAGGTCAGCACTCAGGTGCAGGGCACCAAGGGCAGGGGCAGCAGAGGCTGAGCAGATGTGCACAGGTTTATGTGCACAGAGCTGAGGAGATGGCCCTCACAGAAAGGGTTTGTCCCTATCAGGCTATGCTGATATCAATACCAAACTAAGAGCCCAGTCCTACAAGGTGTCAAGACTAAGATGAAGGTGACAGAGTGCAGACCATTATCTTTCATCTTAACTCATAAGCATAGCTGAATGTTCAGTAGAGAACTACAGAATCATAGACCAGCCAGGTTGGAAGAATCCCTGAAAGAACATCTGGTCCATTTTTGGGGGTGGGGGGGGGGGAGGAAGCCTAGTTAAGATTTTCCGCC